TCGGGAAGAACGGCCCCCCTGATCTGAACCCGAGCGGTGTTCAGTTGTTGGACTTCTGTGCTAGTCACGGTTTGTCCATCACAAACACCATGTTCGAGCACAAGGGTGTCCACCAGTGCACGTGGCACCAGGACACCCTAGCCCGGAGGTCGATGATCGACTTTGTTGTCGTATCATCTGACCTTCGACCGCGTGTCTCGGACACTCGGGTAAAGAGAGGGGCAGAGCTGTCAACCGATCACCACCTGGTCGTGAGTTGGATCCGCTGGCAGGGGAGGAAGCCGGTCAGACCTGGCAGACCCAAACGTGTAGTGAGGGTCTGCTGGGAGCGTCTCGCTAAGCCCCCTGTCAGACGGACTTTCAACTCTCACCACCGAGAGAGCTTCTCCCAGGTCCCGGCGGAGGAGGGGGACATTGAGTCTGAGTGGACCATGTTTTCTTCCTCTATCGCCAATGCGGCGGCTCAGAGCTGTGGTCGCAAGGTCTCTGGTGCTGGTCCCGGCGGCAACCCGGCAGTAAGGGATGCCGTCAGGCTGAAGAAGAAGTCCTATCGAGCAATGATGGTTCGTGGGACTCCTGAGGCAGCTGTCCAGTACCGGCAGGCCAAGCGTGCCGCAGCCCGGGCTGTTGCAGAGGCAAAACCCGGGACTGGGAGGAGTTCGGAGAGTCCATGGAGCATGACTATAAGTCGGCCTCGATGAGATTCTGGCAAACCGTCCGGCGCCTCTGGAGTGCTTTGCCAACACTGTGTATGGTGCGGGTGGAGAGCTGCTGACTGGGGATATTGTCGGGGGGTGGAAGGAATACTTCGAGATTCTCCTCAATCCCCCCGCCACGTCCTCTGTCCTGGAGGCAGAGGCTGAGGATGTTGGGGCGGATACTTCCATCTCCCTGGCCGAGGTCACCAAGGTGGTTGGCAGCCTCCATGGTGGCAAGGCGCCGGGAGTGGATGAGATCCGTCCTGACTATCTAAAGTCTCTGGATGTTGTAGGACTGTCTTGGCTGACACGTCTCTGCAACATTGCGTGGCGATCGGGCACGGTACCAATGGAGTGGCAGACCAGGGTGATGGTCCCTCTCTACAAGAAGGGGGATCGGAGGGTGTGTTCCAATTATCGTGGGATCACACTCCTCAGCCTCCCCGGTAAGGTCTACTCCAAGGTACTGGAGAGGAGGCAACGGCCGATGGTCGAATCTCGGATTCAGGAGGAGCAGTGTGGTTTTCGTCCCGGCCGTGGAACACTGGACCAGGTCTACACTCTCCATCGGATACTCCAGGGTTCATGGGAGTTTGCCCAACCTGTCCACATGTGCTTTGTCGATTTGAAGAAGGCGTTCGACCGTGTTCCCCGGGGTATCATTTGGGGGGTTCTCTGGGAGTACGGGGTCCGGGGTCCTCTGCTGAGGGCTGTCCGGTCCCTGTATGACCGGGGGCCAGAGTTGTGTTCGCAGTCAGAACTGTTCCCGGTGCATATTGGCCTCCGCCAAGGCCGCCCTTTGTCACCGGTTCTGTTCACTGTATTTATGGACAGAATTTGTAGGCGCAGCCAGGGGTTGGAGGGGTCCGGTTTGGAGACCACAGGATTTCATCCCTGCTGTTTGCGGACGATGTTGTCCTGTTGGCTCCAATGAACCAGGACCTGCAACATGCACTGGGACGGTTTGCAGCCAGGTGTGAAGCGGCTGGGATGAGAATCCGCACCTCCAAATCCGAGGCCATGGTGCTCGACCGGAAAAAGGTGCCCTGCCCTCTCCAGGTAGGTGGAGTGGTCCTTCCTCAAGTGGAGGAGTTCAAGTATCTCGGGGTCTCGTTCACGAGTGAGGGAAGGATGGAGCGTGAGATTGACAGGCGGATCGGTGCAGCGTGCGCAGTGATACGGTCGCTGTATCGGACCGTCGTGGTGAAGAGGGAGCCGAGCCGAAAGGCAATGAGCTTTGGGTAATGACCGAAAGAACGAGATCGCGGATACAAGCGGTCAAAATGAGCTTCCTCCGCAGAGTGGCTGGGTGCTCCCTTAGAGATAGGGTGAGGAGCTCAGTCACACGGGAGGAGCTCGGAGTAGAGCCGCTGCTCCTTCACGGCGAGCGGAACCAGTTGAGGTGGCTCGGGCATCTGTTCAGGATGCCTCCCTGGGCAGGTGTTTCAGGCACGTCCCACCGGGAGGAGGCCCCGGGGAAGACCCAGGACACGCTGGAGGGACTATGTCCCTCAGCTGGCCTGGGATTGCCTTGGGGTCCCCCTGGATGAGCTGGAGGAAGTGTGTGTGGATAGGGAAGTCTGGGCGTCTCTGCTTAGACTGCTGCCCCCACGACCCGGCAACGGATGAAGCGGAAGAAAATGGATGGATGGATGGATGGATGGTTACTAATCTCTGTGATTTTTTGAAAAAAATGTCAAAGTTAATTTTTTATGAGTGTAAATTCATTGCGGCTTCGAGAGCGTCTCTTGACTGCCGTTATGCACACTAATACTGACACAAACTAAGACAGTACACCTTTGTCCCATCCATTGCTATAAAGCTTTCCTCATTGGCTACACGGACATGTCAATCATTCGGCCAGGAAGCAGCTCCCAAGCAGTCCGGATGACAACAAATGTGAAGTGACTATATACAGTCTATGGAAGTGACCCATGCGCAAAAAGCAGCCGCTTGTTCTACTCACGGAGATGTTGCAGACGTAAACAAGCACGTAGCTCTTCGGGAATAGGAAAACAAAGCTAAAAGTCCGCTAACAGTGAAAGAACAGCCTCTGTGCTCTTTTTTTTTCTCGTTTTTTTCGCTTAAGATAAATGCGCATTTTTGGATTATTTCTCCAGAATGGATTATACTTTGGGAAATACAAGTGGATATTATTTTTCAATGAACCCAAAGGTAAAAAACTTTTTCGGAAGTGATTTATTTTGTGCCCAAATGATGTGTTATACTGTATCTTTTGAATGGAAAGTCTGATGTAGTTTACTCTTGTATATAAATGTAGATAAGAAAATAAGCTTTAAAATGATATACAGCTTTTGGGGTTTGGTGTTCAAAATACATCTCTGATCGCACACCCACTCTATCTCCCGCTCTACCTCTGCTCTGACCAGCAGCTCTGATTGGTCAGAGCGTGGCTGAGCCCCTCTGTGCACGTGCATGAGAGCCACACACGCTTATTTGGCGCAAAGCATCATGGGAGCTCGTCCACTGCGCAGAACCGGGAGGACCAGACGATACCCAAATATAGGTTTCCGCTATAGTTCCGCTAATCTTTTGGCGCCCATGCCGGCAATTGCGCCACTGAACACAAACCATTCATTTGAATATGGCGCCATCTTGGATCGCCATATTTATCGCCGCCATTGTTATTTACGTTTATCCTCTGCCACTGCGCATGTCCAAATGTATGTGTGGGGAACATAGACTGTAACTATTTGTGGGGAAGTGGGGTGGTCAACCATGTAAACAGCACACAAGAAATTGTTGGTAAATTGTTTTGAGTTTTCACATTCAACATGTGGAAGAAGATGCTGTGATCAGATAACACAACAATGTAACTCCTTGGCCAAATGAAACACTACTCACGCTGCTCATCCCCCTGCACCATTGGCAGCATCATGTTATGAGGCTGCTTTTCTTCAGAGAGAACAGTGAAGAGTTGATGGGAAGGTAGATGGAGAAAAATACAGGACATTATTTTGAGAAGAGCTGCTAGAACTGGGGATTCAACAAAGACTTTTCACAACAACAACAACAAAAAAACTAAAAAAAATGTATAATTTTGATTCACAGTTGTTTCCTGCTTGTGTTTGAACTCTCAGGGAAAGAAAATAACATAAAAGGCATTGTATGTACACTTAGACATGTTAGGATGCAAGCTCGTTGACCGACTGATGGCGACGACCCAATTTTCTGTCTGGAATGAGCTGTTCTGACTCTCTTCTAGAAGGCCCAAAATATCGATGTATGTTAGAGCTAGTGTGTCAAAATATTAATGAGTGCATGCTCGCTGGACATTACTAATAGCACAGATGGTTATTTCACCCAAGCTTTATGGTCGCTGTTTGTTCTGAGAGTTCACACTTCACTGTCACAGTCACTGTATAATTATATATGTTATATTATACATTAAATATTGTGATTGGTTCCAACTTCAGTCCAGGTTCTGTAGGGTTACGCTATGTTACCCAACAGAAAGGAGACTGTTTGTAAGTGAGGTTGCACCCTGATGCGACTATTTCTCAAAAAGACGACATGAAGCCAACACTACAGCCACAAAGCGAATCTGTGCAGCAGCACTTGAGAAACACACAAAAAACAATGTTAAGCATACACATAATTAATTGGTCTTGAAATGAGTGAACGCTGAATTATGGCAGTTGTGTTCTTTCCAGCAGACATGCAATTAGATGATGGAAACGAGAGAGCAAGTAAGTGCATGTTCTCCAGTTTTGGCTCAATAAGAATATCTACAAGAAAAACAAACATGTGCTTGGCGAGAACCAACTTAACTGTTTTCCAAGAGAGAGCTGAAAGCATATTTGCATTATACCCCAGTCAGTATATATTGAAGCTTTGTTTTAAATCAAATATAAACTGTGACAAAAACAATGTGTTGTACAACTGAAATAGATTACCCTGAAATAGATATTTTCTCTGCATCAACACACTGTAAGAGTTGAACTAGAATTTGTGAAAAACCAAATAAATCTCTTCGTCTTGATCTACAAAGGGAAAGATTTACAAAATCTGGTGTGGTTGTGCAACCATTATGCTATGTATAGTGGCAGAAGATAAAATGAGTCAATGTCTCGATTAACACAGAAAGCATAAACGCTTAGCATCCACTTAATTAACTGCATGAAATTATGGCTGGTGCCCCTCCTCAAAAGTGGTTCTACAGGCTCCAGCCCACAAAGGAGGGAGCGTTGGAGGAGAGCAGGATATATAAATGTCAGAAAGCTCTGTCGGCATCAGTCAGCCTTTACTCTCCAAGACAGGCAGATCTCTGAGCAACCAACAATGTCTTCCTACGGCTTCTCCAGACAGTCCTACAGCGGCGGCAGCAGCAGAACCGGGGGCCGCCAGTATTCCCACAGTGTGACAGGAGGTAGTGGCCTGAGGATGTCCACAGCCTCTCTCAACTACAGCTCTGGTGGTGGTGGTGGTGGTGGATATGGCATGGGTGGAGGTTATGGTGGAGGAGCTAGCTTTGGAGCTGGCTTTGGAGGTGGGTTCGGTGGTGGTGACGAAGCTTCAATCAGCACCAATGAGAAAGCCACCATGCAGAACCTGAACGACCGTCTGGCCACCTACCTGGATAAAGTACGGAAGCTGGAGAGTGCCAATGCTGACCTTGAGCTCAAGATCCGTCAGTACTTGGAGGGGAAAGCCTCTCCCACTGCAAGAGACTACTCCGCATTCTATGCCACCATTGCAGATTTGCAGGGAAAGGTATGTTACATCAATATCAAGAGGAAATATGCATTGTATTAATAAAATTATCAATGCTTCACAGATCCAGAATGCTACTTGTCTCAACGGAGGCATCTATCTGTCCATTGATAACGCAAAGCTGGCAGCAGACGACTTCAGAACTAAGTAAGCATTTTCTTTGGTATGTACTTTTTTGCAAGAAAAAAATCTGTGAAAATTAATAATTGTAATTTCTCAGATATGAAAATGAGCTTGCCATGCGCCAGTCAGTGGAGGCAGACATCGCAGGCCTGAAGAGGATGCTGGATGAACTGACCTTGGCCAGATCTGATCTTGAAATGCAGATTGAGGGTCTCAAGGAGGAGCTGATCTTCCTCAAGAAAAACCATGAGGAGGTTTGTGGAAACATATTTCAATCTTGAATTGAGACCCGTCTAAAATGTATCTAAAATGAATGTCATACCTTACAGGAAATGGCCGCCATGAAGGGTCAGCTAGGTGGACAGGTGAATGTGGAGGTGGATGCTAAGCCTGGAGTTGACCTCAATGCTGTCATGGCTGAAATGCGTGAACAGTACGAAGCCATGGCTGCCAAAAACCAGAGAGAACTTGAAGCATGGTTCCAGGCAAAAGTAAGATTATTGTATTGCTGTTTTATCCTTAATCCTGTACATTCTAAACCTTTGTTTTGTTTGTATAGACAGAAGAACTAAACAAAGAAGTAGTATCAAGCCAAGAAGTTTTAGTTACGTCAAAGTCAGAAATCTCCGAGCTCCGTCGCACTCTTCAAAGCCTGGAGATAGAGCTTCAGTCACAACTCAGCATGGTAACTTCTGCTTGTGAATAGATTGAGAATAATTTGCATTTTTGACATGGTCTCGAAGTCACATGATTTAATCTCATTCCTGCAGAAATCCGCTCTCGAGGGAACATTAGCAGAGACAGAGGGCCGGTATTCCATGAAGCTCCAGAATATGCAGATGCAGGTGACAAATCTGGAAGCACAGCTCACAGGACTGCGTGCAGACATCGATCGCCAGACCCAGGAGTACAACATGCTGCTGGACATCAAGACCAGGCTGGAGATGGAGATCGCAGAGTACAGGAGGCTGCTGGACGGAGAGGCGGGGTGAGGCTCTTCATCACAGGAAACACAATTTTTAGTTCTCATCATTATGCCTTATTGTCAAACACTGATCTTTCTTTCCTTTTGCAGCAGCTCCTCCTCCTCCTCCTCCTCCTCAAGGACAACCACCAGAATCGTTGTGGTTACAGAAGAGGACGGCAAAGTGGTGTCCTCAAGCACACGCACCACATAAAGCTGCATCCCGTACTAACTGAAACATGAAATAAAAGTTTAGTGCTGACTCATGATTTTGTTTCTGACTTTTTATTCTGGGTACACCCTTGCACTTAAGAATATTATGGTATTCATAATGACAATAATAACAATTATTATGATAATAACATGATATAATAGTGAATAAATCAATCAATTGTTATTTGTAGAGCCCTTTTCTGACACAGGGTAATACAAAGTGCTTCACAGTCCACATCACACAAGGCACAAATCATCAACACAGGAAATTAAAACCATAAATCCTTCTCCTACATGCACACCTACTGTAAAAAGTGGATAAGGTAAAAGGGAATCTTACGGAAAATCAGTAACTTTGGTTGTTGATACCTCAATGAATGTAAGCATGACACTTTCAATACAGATTTCTGCCAATACATCAATAAGGACAACAAAATCCTCATTGTTGGGGCAGATAGGGGAACACTTGTTGATGGGCACACTGGTGTTCCCCGTTAATGAAGGCATGTGTCACACCTTATCTGGATTTACAAAAATCAAAACATGTACACCAAGATCACAGAGAGCGCCAGAGGTGTGGACTCTAGTTATGTGACTTGGACTCGAGTCAGACTCCATGCATGAATTTGATGACTTTAGACTCATTCATAGAAGCTATACCCAATTTTTTTTCTAATGAGTTCTTAAAAATGTTTATTACTACATACAAGTTGTATTATAATCCGTAATTTAATTGAAAATTTGAGCTCATTGATTCAGCTTGTGTATGAATTCAGGCCGTATAAAAGTGCTGAGTAGTGACTTGGCGTGACGCTCATTCTCCTCCACTCACAGAACGAGGCTGCGTCCTCCAGCCTCTACAGCGCTGCTAAACACTAGGGCAGTGGTTCTCAAACTTTTTACACCAAGTACCACCTCAGAAAATACTTGCCTCTCCAAGTACCACCACAAATGCCCAACACTACACAGTAGCGTAGTAAGCCTTAAGCCTAGTGTATAGTCGCGCGGCGCGACGCTTAAGGTGGTGTTGCAACGTCACTTACGTAATGCGTGGATCACTGCAAGGCTCTTACGTAGCCTGCCACGCATCCTCAAAAATGTGTAACTACGCAAGGATCGCCGCAGAGAAGCTCCGCTGTGATTGGTCCGTGTGTGATTACTTTCGAGGCACTTCGGAGCAGACTGCTTCGTGCTTTGAAGGAACCGAAGGAAAAGCAGTTTGGGCTCGTGGCTCAGAGCCTGATATACGCGGAGACTGTGGACTAGAGTTAACATATATATAACTTATAAACTGTGCAGTCGTTTCTTTTGCACTGTTCCTGTCTTTGTTTGAATCGTAGCTTGTCGCATCTGCATTCCTCCTGCACTTGTAAATAGTTAATGTTTGTCTCAGATATTTACCACTTATTGCTTTGCTGTTTGTGCTGAATACAATTTAATAATAACTATGTTTCCAACAAGAACTGTGTCTTTATTCACAACATCACAATTAACCCTTTAGGCGCCAGAGTTTTTTCAAGAAAATGTACAATTTTGATTTCAAGATTTCAAAAGGCTATAACTTTAAAATGGTTTGAGATAAAGGCATACTGTAAATTAGAAATATCTTCAGTCTGAACCAAACTTTGGGATGGAAGTTGATTCGTCATCTAATTTGCATATTCTGACGTCATCAAGGTGGCGGCCATTTTGGAAAATGTTAATTATTGTATAAAGACTTCAAAAAGCTGTAGCTTGGGAGTTATTTGAGATCAGGGAATACTATAAACAGTAAATGTGAAATATATCTTTAGTATGAAATGAATTTGGGATAGAAATAAATTCCCTGATCCAGATTATACATAATGTTTTAGCACTGGTTCGCAGCCATATGGAATTTTATTATTTTCAAAGACCTTCAGTGATCAAGACTGCACTCTTTATAGTTTACAGTCATGAAATCTGGAGATTGGTTTCAATATTTCCCTTTCTAAGAAGTAGTGGGCATACTATTTTTCTCAGTGGAAATGAGGCTCCAGGATTTATCGTGTAGAAACAGAGAGATGAAAGGAATGGGCACAGAACATGTCAGATCGTCTCAACAATAAACAACAGGTTTTTCAACACTTCTGGTCCACTTTTGTGGATTATTTTCTCTCAAGAACTGCCTTCATCCTCATCATCGCTGTTGGTAAAGGCAGTAAACGCGATAAGCGATGTGCTTTTTCCCGCGGCTCCCCCGCGACTTCTCCCGCGTCTCCCCGCGGATGTCTACCCCGGCTACTTTCTCCCACATGCCCGGTGTTATGATGCCCCTGTCCCCTCGACCACGGCCCCTGCTTGGCGTTCACAGAATGCTTCTACCGCGGCCACACGGAGGACAAGCAGCCGCTGTACAGGGACTGATTGTGGACTATGGAGCGCGGTCTCCCCGTCACCAATAATGCCCGAGTCTGCTTCACTGGACACCTGTGTGTCTTCCTCCTCTGAATCTGAGTGAGCCAGTACCAGACCAAGTACTTCTCTGGTACTGAAGACCTCGTGAGTAAAATAAAAAACACTCTCTCTCCCTCTGCTCTGCTCTCGCTCCTCTCAGCTCTACCGCTGCTGCTTCGCCTCCGCGCTGCTGCGCGCAGGTGTTTTACGAACTCAATTTACTCAAAAACTTTCAATATAACCACACCCACAAATGCTGCTCATATTACAGGCACACATGTCCACTAACCCCTGGTGAAAAGTATTAACAAGATTCTGCACCACATTTTTAGATACAGCCTGTTTAAGTGAGCAATGTTGCTTGTCGCAATATTGCGACTTTGGCGCTTAAAGGGTTAAGTTCTATGGACTCATCACGATGAGTCCATAGAGCTACAGTAACACATAAACCTACAGTAGAAACACATGTAATGATCTCAAACAGCTTAGCTATTGTTTTTGTTCTGAAGAGGAGAAAGAATGGGACCGCTTTGGTTTCTCAAGCAACTCCTGTGAGTTTGCCATTAGTCAGCTGCAAATATGACTTGACCCCAAAAAAATTCTAACAAAAGGTTTTTCAGTGGTTTACAGTAGTATCAGATGTACTTATAAACATATAAAAAGTTTACCAAAGTTTGACTCCAAAAAAGGCCCCATTTTCTAAATGGCTGCCATCAGGTCCTTAAAGGAATAGTTCACCGTTTGTACATACTGACATATGTTCTTACCTTACCTTAGACTAGTTAATACGTACCTGTCTGGTCTTAGTCCGTGCGCTCTGTCATGCAAACGGAGCAAAAACTGGAGCACAACCGCAGCCTCCTCTGTATATTTTGTAGCACCAAAAGGTAGCTCCCGCTAGAAGCTACCAAACTCTTCCAAGTGTTCCCTATTAAATGTATATAGTTACGTGACGTGTTACACTGCAAAGTATAGTAACACAGAAATGTAACAGTCGATTTTCTCAGCGGATAAAACGGGTACTATATTGTGAGGCGTAGTAATCTGAGGTGCGCTACGTCCGCGCACTAACTTCTCTCCGGAGACTTCTCTCTCGCTCACTTCCGTCAATAGAAGCAGCGTGACTTGTAATACACACAGTAGCAGCGAGAGAGAAGTCTCCGGAGAGAAGTTAGTGCGCGGAGAAGTTAGGAGCGCTACGTCCGCGCACTAACTTCTCTCCAGAGACTTCTCTCTCGCTGCTACTGTGTGTATTACAAGTCACGCTGCTTCTATTGACGGAAGTGAGCGAGAGAGAAGTCTCCGGAGAGAAGTTAGTGCGCGGACGTAGCGCACCTCAGATTACTACGCCTCACAATATAGGCTCCGGGAGTGGATGAGATCCGTCCTGACAAACTAAAGTCTCTGGATGTTGTAGGACTGTCTTGGCTGACACGTCTCTGCAACATCGCGTGGCGATCGGGGGCGGTACCAATAGAGTGGGAGACCGGGGTGGTGGTCCCTCTCTACAAAAAGGGGGACCGGACCGGAGGGTGTGTTCCAATTATTGTGGGATTACACTCCTCAGCCTCCCTGGTAAGGTCTACTCCAAGGTACTGAGAGGAGACTTCGACCGATTGTTGAATCTCGGATTCAGGAGGAGCAGTGTGGTTTTTGTCCCGGCCGCGGAACACTGGTCCAGCTCTATACTCTCCATCGGATACTCGAGGGTTCATGGGAGTTCGCCCTATATCAGTCTACATGTGCTTTGTGGATTTGGAGAAGGCGTTCGACCGTGTTCCCCGGGGTGTCCTTTGGGAGGTTCTCCGGGAATACTCCGGGGTCCGGGGTCCTCTGCTGAGGGCCATCCGGTCCCTGTATGACCGGAGCCAGAGCTGTGTTTGCATCAGCAGTAAGTCAGACCTGACCTCGGGGTCTTGTTCACGAGTGAGGGAAGGTTGGAGCGTGAGATTGACAGGCGGATCGGTGCAGCGTGCGCAGTGATGCTGTCGCTGTATTGGACCGTTGTGGTAAATACAAGGCCCCATTCATTCTTTCCTTTACACGGATCAGTTGTCCTCGTCCCTCTGCTTAAAAACAGCCCCAAAGCATGATGTTTCCACCCCCATGCTTCACAGTAGGTATGGTGTTCTTTGGATGCAACTCTACTCCAAACGCGACGAGTTGAGTTTTTACCAAAAAAATTCTATTTTGGTTTCATGTGACCATATGACATTTTCCCAATCCTCTTCTGCCAGGACATGCACTTGCTAAAGGGGACACGTCTGGCACTGCAGGATTTGAGTCAGCGGCATAGTGTGTTACTGATGGTGCCTTTGTTACTTTGGTCCCAGCTCTCTGCAGGTCATTTACTCCATGTTGTTCTGGGATTTTTGCTCATCGTTCTTGTGATCATTTTGACCCCACCGGTGAGATCTTGCGTGCTGCCCCAGATCGAGGGAGATTATCATTGGTCTTGTATGTCTTCCATTTTCTAATAATTGCTCCCACAGTTGATTTCTTCACATCAAGCTCCTTACCTAAAGCAGATTCAGTCTTCCCAGCCTGGTGCAGGTCCACACTTTTGTTTGTGGTGTCCTGTGACAG